ACACACACACACACACACACACACACACACACACACACACACACACAGACACACACACGCGCGCGCGCGCGCGTACAAAATTTCTTTTACTTATTATTTAGGTATAAATTATATATTTCCTCAATAGTTTTACAATCAATATCACAATGACATCCTAGGGGCTGGGTGCTTGGAGACCCATATTACAGCTCTGCTTAGTTTGGGCAACTCTAAGCGTGTGTATACTGTATCTCTATTATAATGTTGCTTTGTTTTGCATTGTGGAGATAAATAAAGACATATTATTATTATTATATTATATTATAGAATGTAAAAATAATTTTACTGAAAAAGATTTCATTGCAATGTACCTAAGTGTAATAGATACTTATTATAATAACTAAGTAATTGTAGAAGAAACTTGTGACAGCTACAATCTTTCCTATTTCGTATGATAAAATACGAATTACGTGAATATACATAAAGTGTCGTTCATAGTAAAAGTGAATTATCTTCGTGTAATAAAATTTTATGACTTATTCGCTTTCATAATTAATATTTAACAATTTTTAATAATTAAACAAGTAACGCAATTTACGGGGTTTAAGTAATGGTGATGGGCTCATGCCATCTCCTACAGGAACATGGACGAAGGATCTTGTGCTCAGGTTGAACCATGTCCGGAGATTCTTAAGCCACGAAGTACGCCTTCCTCCAGGCGGTCGCTTTCCCTGTATCTTTCCTTGTATAATTAATCAGAGTAGGTCGTATTTATCATTACGCATTATATGACCAAAGTACTGTAGTTAGCATTTTTTGACAGTACTCAAGGCCTCTAATTTCTTATTCAACATCTGCAATACTCTTTTATTGGACAGTCTATCTGTCCACGATACTTTTAAAACTCTTCTTTAGACCCATATTTCAAAGGCTTCTAAGCGGTTGCCTGTATTTTGAGTTAAGGGCTAAGAAGGTAGTATTGGCAGAATCATAATATGATTACGCAATAAATACGCAATTCATCTATTTGACTGTGTTCTATGGAGACTTCCACAGAACACTGTCAAATAGGTGAATTGCGTCATATGAATTGCAAGAAATTCAATTCAAATTATGATTCTGACAATGCGGCATTTTTAGCCCTGAGTCTACGTCATACAGAAGAAGCGTAAACTCGTAGATGGCAGAATAGATGACACAACTTTAGAAATGTATTACGTGCTTGTTCTATCCGACATTTGATCTCCACGCTGTGATTGCATTGGTCGTTTACGACGCAGTCATTAAAATGATTGTAACATCTATTCTACATAGGGAGAGCAATAAAATAATTGAGTATTAAATTCAACAATGTATCGAATCGACGTGTCTTATCAACTCGTATTGTTTCAGCCGGAGCTATATAAGAACGAGTTGGTTCGTCAACCATCGACAGACAGTGCAGAGCTCGAGTTTTGTGGAAAACTGCATTTCGCTCTCAAGTACGATCAAGAAGTCGAGGCGCTCGTTGTGAAGGTACGTTTCTTTTAATAGTGACGCTAAATGAAGGTAGGTCTCACTGGAAGATGACGTCATTGAACAAAATGAGACAGTTTTTGGCTTATTACACGACTTAATATTTTCATAGATTTCTCATAGAATAGCGCTACGGCTAAGAAGTCGATGAAAACTTAATATAAAGATCCGAAAACAACCACAAAGAAAATTTTATGAGGTCCGCTGGTTAGTTCCGTGGCTTAAAAATTATAATTTTTAAATCGACATCTCTAGTCAGCGATCGTAACTGCAAAGGTACCTCTCTGAAGAAATATATTTCTCACAGATGGCGCTACGAAAAAAAGTCGTTAAAAAATAAAAACAAAGATCCACAACTAACATATACAAAAATTCGTAAGATCTGCTGGTTCGTTCCGTGGCTTAATTGGCAGAGCATCTGGCACGGATTGTCTGATGGTGCTGGTTTGAATCATTCTTAGTGTTTCGATCTTTGTTATAATAATTGAAACTTATAGACTGATGGTACGAATTTATAGAGCGAATGTGGATTGAGGGAGGATTGATAAGGAGAGGTAGATCTCTGCGTACATATCTCGATCAGATTAGGCATGACCTTAAATAATTTAATAATTAATTTTAATAATATAGTTTAATAATTAATTTTATTAATATTTAATAATTGAAACTTATAGACTGATGGTACGAATTTATAGAGCGAATGTGGATTGAGGCATAAGGAGAGGTAGACCTCTACGTACATATCTCGATCAGATTAGGCATAACCTTAAAAAGGCCGAGTTAAAAGTATCAAGAATAAACTGAATAGACTGATGGAGGAGGTGAAGGAGATTTGTCAGGAGCGTAGCAGGTCTGACCGTATGTATGTATGTAACAAACCATAATCTAAAACGTTTTACGCAACATGGATGTGACAGTCAATTTGTATCAAACACAACCTGCATCAATTTTGTGACAAAATAGATTCTTATTTTGTTGAAAAAACTGAAAACAAAATTATCTTATTTTGTCCGATGATTTTATGTTCTATGGAATAAAATGGGAATTATTCCGAAAGAAGTGATGTCGACGCTTTTTTAGTAATTAAAAAAAATGAAAAATGAAAACAAATGTAATATTATATTCCCATTTTGAATTATGGGTTTTTAACGTGTGTTCCAACATAACTTAGGTAACAAAAGGGTGGTGCTGGCACAAGGTCTTACAAAAGGATATAATGGATTGACTTATAAAGATGTCAATGACACTAAACCTCTTTTATAAGAAAATATTTTTTTTTTATTTAAACAGCAACGTGATTTATGTTCAAAAGATGTTTATGGAATATCTTTTTTTTCTGACTGTAGATAATATTTAAGGTTACTGTCAGTATCATGGCCATTTTTAATTTCTAAAGTGTTGTTGTATCCATTTGTAATATTCTATGATCAATTTAATTGATACTGTCGTACAAACATAATGTTTTGTGAAAAAAATTGCATAGAATGAACACTATGTTATATCACTTTTCACAGTACAATGTTGAGTGACCACTGAAGCAAAATTATTATTTAAAATTATTATTTTTTCTTTTTCTGGCAAATCTGCACATTTACGCCCGCAAAATTTTAAAATTCAATATTTTTTCTTTGACTTAACATTTGGCTTTAATTGTCTCTGGTCGATTAGATCGAAATTAAAATTTCGTCGCAAAATGCACAATCGGATTAAATAAAAGTTGACAAATGGCTGCAAAAGCGCAAAGTATTCCACTTCGAGCTGAGTTTTTTTATATGATATATAATGAAATTCTAAGCATCTTTTATTCTTGTGTATTTCTTGAAAAATTGATACTTTCAGAGATTTTATTTTTGTATGGAAAAATGTACTTACGTTCTATTTTTTTTCTCCAAAAATACCTATCAAAATAATATATCTATAATAAAAAATATCCTTTTTGGATATGCTATTATTATATTTCCAATTATTCTCTACCAGGAAAAAAAATCATCTGCATGTACTTGCGGCTTTACGAGCAAAGAGGCGGCAAAATTTCAGTATATTTTATATATTTTTTAAAGATGAGTATCTATTAGGTTCGCGCACCACTGTGCTCCGCGCGTCTGCAACTGTATAAGTAGAGACGTTACGCGCAACACTATGAGAACACCGAGTGCTCCATTAGGTTCGCGCATCGACTCTGCTTGTCGTCCTCGACATCATAAACGGAGCGTGGAGCGTGCACACTGCGCTCCGCTTTGTATTCGCGCAAAAATCGCCAAGGCGCGGAGCGCTCACCGCGGAGCGTGCAACGTTGCATGCGATCGTACCCACTAGTGGAGCAGTTGCAGATGCGCGGAGTACAGTCAGTGCGCGAACCTAATGGATTCGCGGCATAACACCGTCTACATTACACTAAAATTAATTTAATCATTTTTAGCCGAAAACTTGTATATTTTCTTAAAAAAGTACATAAAAAGCAGACACTTTGCCGCTTCTTGACTTATAATCAATATTTAAAGATTATTTTGTTAACAATTGATGACAACAAAGGGCTCTGAGTGCTCTTGCACATAAACACGTTACGACGTCGCGTCGTGTCACGACGACGTCGTACCCTAGCCGGCCCTAAAGGCTCTTAGATATACGCCATCGCGTCGCGCTGCGACGTCGTATCGTGTTTATGTGTAAGAGCCCTAGAGCCCAAACTCAACTAAAAGCAAAGAGATAGAATAGAAGTACCGCTAATTTTTTAACTAATCAGGAGGCAGAGAGCATTTGCCTAGTGACAATTTGACATTTTAATTACCAAAAGACGACCTTCTTTTTGTGAAACTCATTATAGTTCTGTGTACAGAACTTTAATAAAATTTTTCAGTTCAATAGCGGCGGGAAAGTGTCTTTTTTAAATATTTTTTTACAAAATATACAAGTTTTCGATTAAAAACGTATTAATTTTAGTGTAATGTAGACAATGTTATAACCATAACTCAAAAGTTAAGCAAACACTCGTACATTGCGTTGAAGAAATATATAAAATATACAGAATACCTGCCACCTCTTAAAAAATATACTAATATACAGGAAAAAGGATATTCGTACTTTTGGAGAAAAAAATAAAACGTAAGTATATTTTTCCGTACAAAAAACAAAACTTTTTCTCTTAAAGTATCAATTTTTCAAGAAATACACAAAAATGAAAGATGCTTAGAATTTCATTACGTATCATGTAAAAAAAATCAGCTCGATATTCCACAAAATGTTCCTAAGTAAATGAATTATCAATTTGGGCTCACTGTGCAATTTGTGCGCCCTTTTGGTTTTGAGACATTATTATACTCATTCAACTACTAATGACGTTAGATAAGCGAACTTTGCACAATTCACAATTATTTTTACCATTGTGAATATTGTGGATAGTTTCGAATATTTACTATCACATGACAACTAAACGATTATTAAATACTTGACTGATTATAATTCGTTCAAATTCCTTAATACCTAAAAAAGGAATTTCATAACATTACAACATATAATAATTGCTTGCAAATATAATCCAGAAATAATTGTTGACATATTCTAAGCGCCTGTAAAAATGTTGTTAGCAATTACACGGAGAAGATAAACTGTCTTTTTTAGAAGATGAAGGCGTTTTATTATTATTTTTTAAATAACTTTTTATAGAAGCTTCCTAAAATAGTGAGAAAAGAGTATGTTTAGGTAGAATTAGGTAGTAAATAGTTATATAAAAAAAGTTAATTATATACTGCTAGAACCATGAAAATCGTAAAGTGGTCTAGCCAACCTGACGTCAGAATGGCTGGCCACTTTATTTCTTTAATATTTACGTTAGCGCAAAGGTACAAAATATGGAAATAAAGGTAATAAACAGTAGAAATTACGTAGTACAGTTTGATTTGTACATCTCGTTTGGTCCAGCCATCCTGACAGATACCTAAGCGAATGGTTTAAAAATAGAATCCTGAGCGTAGCGACGGTTTTAAGGCACGAGACGCAAAACAACTTTGCTGCCGAGCGAAACGCACAACTTTTCAGTTCAATATAGCTAGGAAAATGGTAGATGAATAAAATATACCACTTGGTTTGCGAAATACACCAACAAATACACGTATTACATAAATAATATTTTAATATTTAATTGCTCGATATTGCGCTTCAAACGGAGTTACGAGGTTTTCAAATTGAACCGACGATATCGCAATATATTCAACAGCTCGCACAAAATTATAATGATAGATGGATTATTTCGTTCGTAATAATATTGCAATCGTAACATAATTATCATTTTATCATTGTTGATTACTTTTGATTCTTGTAAAATAATTTCATTATTGCTTTGATACTCAAAAACATTGTTTAAACTTACAAAGGATAATTTGAATAAACATTTGTATTGGAAGAGGGATAGATAAATTATTTCTTTGTGTAACATTTACAAGCTATTAGACACGATTAATTGGACAAGATTGGCATGATTTATTGACGAATTCCAACAAGCTTGAGTACAGTTTTCACATATATACCAAGGCACCAAGTCTGCTAATTCCATGAGACTCCACTGAGATCATATTGCAATTATGATAATAGTTGTTATTCTGCTAAAATGTAGTTGCAATAGTTGAGTCTTAGTAGACTGTCAGTGGAATTACTAACGATCGATGTTGCCTTATTATGGAAAATTTTGTATGGATTTTTTTAAATTTAATTTGACCAACTTTTGCTTTTCCAACTTTTTTCTTCCCATACAATGAAGTTATTCTTATAAAAAACTGAGTTTATAAGCATTAAAAAAAGACAATTTTATTCATTTTGTATGAAAACATTTTATGAAATTTGGCCAACGATTTTTTTTTATTTGACGAATTTGTTCGCGATTTTTTCGTCCCATACAATGAAATAATCTTTCATAAAACTGTGATGATCAGCACTAGAAAAAATTTTGATAAATTTTATTCATTTTTATGGACAACTCACGCTTGACCTAAAAATTGACTATGCCAAAATTGTATTTACAATAAAAAAGACTTAATGGTTCCTAAGACAGTTTCATTGTATATTCTATGGTTTCGGATTTCCCCATACTGTCTCATTTACGTAACTAGATAGCACTTCTTCAAAAGTACTGCTCTCCCAATACTTTGAAATATATTTAGCCTCGATTTAGGCACTATTTATTGGCTATCCTAACTTGTTATTTTGGTTAGAATTGTAAATATAAGTAAATAAAAAACTTTACACAAATTAATTTATTTAAATTATTTATAGGTAAGAAAGAGGTTATTTTGTCAAAAATGATTGCATCACTCTCTCTTTCCTTTTTAATTAAAGTTTTCGTAAGTTGTGCTGTTCGGAAGTGCAATAACATCTTTTACACCCTCTTATTTTACCAAGCACCTTTGTATAAAAGTTAATAGGCTGGCTAAAAGGTTTGCGAGTTATTTTCAAAACTTTGTGTCCAAAGTCACTGGCCTCGTAATGGGCTTGGAGTCAATGAACGGGCAGTAGATCCCATTCGGGAATGGGAATATATTTGAATTTGTTGGGTATGAATAGTTTGTTCGATGCTACTATAACATTGATTTAGGTTTTTGCAACCAATTATATTATATACTTTAAAAAAGGAAGATAATATATTACTAGCGTCCGTGTCGTGAATATTTGAGTATGGTACAATTGTAAGTTCTTGCAATTAGTCTGCGTCGAGATCTACGACATCAACCGAAGTCATATCAACCGAAAGACGTCCACTACTGAATATAGGTCTCCCCCAAAGATTTCCAGACTATTCGATCGGACGTGACGTGCATCCGTCGGTTACCCGCCGCCCTTACCAGGTCATCCATACATCTAGTTGAGGCCGTCCCACTGAACGCTTTCCGGTTCATGGTCCCCATTCGAGAACCTTTCTGCCCCAACTCCCGTCAGCTCTACGAGCTATGTGCCCTGCCCACTGCCACTTCAACTTGCTAATTCTTTGAGGTATGTCGGTGACTTTCGTTCTTCTATGAATCTCCTCATTTCTGATTCGATCACGTAGAGAAATGCCGAGCATTGCTCGCTCCATAGCTCGTTGAGTGACTTTGAGCTTTTTTATGAGGCCCATAGTAAGTGACCACATCTCAGAGCCGTAGGTCATCGCTGACAACACGCACTGCTCCAAGACTTTTGTCTTCAAGGACTGCAGTTTTTGCAACAGGGAACAATTGTAACCTTAAAATATCATATTTATTCCCGTTAGTTTCATTTAATTTTAAACTATTTTTTTACCTCTTGACTTTTCTTCCACGTGGAACAATATTGTAACTTTAAAATGTCATATTTATTCTCATTTTAAGACCAAGTAATTTTATTGTAACTGCCTGGCTTATTATCATTATCCTAATTTGAAGTGAAGTAGTTGTCATTGTTTTTCCTTCAACAGATCTTTGAGGCTCGTGACCTTCCTATAAAGGACGTGACAGGCAGCAGCGACCCCTACATCAAAGTGTTCCTGTTGCCTGATCGTAAAAAGAAGTTCCAGACCAAAGTGCATCGCAAGAATCTGAATCCTGTTTTCAACGAAACTTTTCTATTCAGGTAAATAATGAAAAGATTTTTTAGTAACATTGTTGACGTTAGAAAAAAATTGTTTTAATACATTTTTGATTATGCAGTCGGATATTTTTGTTGTTAAAAATTTGTAAATTGTCATGGCACGGTAAGTAGAATAAGTTTCCCAAGGTTACATTAAGGTTTATTAACCTTTTAGACCTTATTTATTTTCAAGAAACAGCTTCAATGCGAAGAGCCACGTCTGTACAATTTACAGCATAATAAACTTAAAAACCACAGTCAAAAGTTCAGAAATGAAGTTTAATTAAACAGTTGATATCTCTGTGAACGACCGACTTCAAATTGTTAATGTGCTCTTAAAATTGTAGTCAAAGTAAGAACTTTCAATACACGGAATAACTAATTTTAATAATTAATAGCTTTAGGCGTTACTTTCAGAAAATCCATGTTAAACAAAATGGAAGTACATTACGTTGCTACTCCTAGGACCTAGTTAAGGTTAAATCTTGCAAAATGGCTGCGTATGTATTGAATATTTATTCGTTCAATTAATTTTGTAATTTTCTTTCCACTTAATATGAATAAAACAAGCCCAACTACAGTCACAAATACCACCACTAGTGTTGCATTATACAGATTTTTTTTTATGTTACCAAGTGACGGGACGAACAAGTCGTGTGCCTGATGGTAAGCTACACGCCTGTCCATAACAGTTGCAGTGCCACTTAGAGCATTAAATAGCAAAGAATTGAGGGACACTTCCACTGTACCCATTTTCTGAAACATAAGTTGAATCTATGCGAGTATGTTGTGCGGAGTTGTGTATGAGAAATAAAGGTATCGAGTTATATGTACCTAGTTGGTTAAGGGCACAGAATCAAAGCTTAGAATAATAATTCTTTTCGCTAGTCCTACGTCGTTCATTGCAAATTTTTGAATTACAATAACAATAGGATATCGTCGGTATGAAAATTTGTTATTTACGATGAAAAACTGTTAACGTCGAATTTATTCCAGATCGCTGGTCATTCTCTTGATTTATTATTGCATGAGTATCACTTCCTAACGACGCTCATCACTACGTTCTTGATTTATTCCTTTGAGAAAACGACGCCCTCTTTTTTTGCAAGAAATTGTGGCCCAAATAACGAAAAATTTGTAATAATTACCAACCACCAATAAACGATTATCCCTAGTTTACACAGGTTTATCGCGATATGAAATTCGATTCTTCTTCTAACGTTTCGAATCCGAAGCTTAGCTCTATTTTGCGGGCTATTAACACATAACCATAGACCGGGTTAACCGTGTGACCTAAAACTGCCGTTACATTAAGATTGAGGGTGGATGATAATAACCTACCACTAGGATTACTAAAATGAAAATAATGTGAATAGGGCTTAATAAATATGAATAGGGCGGAATAACGGTGAAGGTGAAACTAAATTGTAATCAATGAAGGGACTATTTGTTGGTTATTGACATTACAACCGCGGAGAACATGTTCTGTTTTCTTGACACACTATATAAAGTAGTAGTAGTATAGCTGGGATTTACGAGTATACCTGTCCGAAAAGACTTTACGGCGTCATAAATTTGTCAAAGGCATCGATTAAGAGACCTTCATAAAAGGAGATTGTTTTGGGACAAGCAAACTTGAGTTGCTGGATATGTGTGGGGTGCGCTGAAATAGCTCTTGTATTATTTAATTTTTTATTGGATTTTTTATTTGTTTGTATTCATCATTATCACAATACATTTAGTAGTTAGTCAGTCTACTGCTTCTTGTGAAAGAGTTCGTCCAGGGTAGTACTGCCATCTTACTTATTTCTGCCACCAAGCACTAATGTCAGCATTACTGTGTTCCGGTTTTAAAGTGTAAAGGTGCTGATGAAATTACAGGCACATGGGAGCTGTCAACTTATGTCTTAGGGTGACGGGTGCAGTGGCAGTGCCCCTCATGTATTTGCGATTTAAAGTTCGGAGTGGCACTGTAACTGTTATGGACAGGCGTGTAGCTTAGCATCAGGCGCACGACTTGTTCGTTCCATCACTAGATATTATAACAATAATTGAATATCCCAGGATTGGACTCGGGTTTCCTCTCAGGAGAGGGTTAATGTAATAGTCTGCCACTCTGGTCTTTCAAAGTTTTTCAAAGGTTCATAAACTCATATTTTTGTCTTTTTTTTTATAAAAATTAATTGCGCTCAAAAAAATTTAGGTCAAATGACCTCAATCTCACCTGATGGAAAGTGACATCATCGTCGAGGATGTAGCATGCACACCTAAATAATGCCTATCCACTCTCGTCTTGAAAAGGTTCAAGTTATAGCGTTCGGGGAACAAGTCTGCAGGCAAGGAATTCCACTCCCTAGCCGCTCGCCATACAAATGTGGAAGCGAAACGCTTCGAATCCGGGACATACCCACAACATAGGGGTGGAACCCTAGCCCACGTCTAGTCCCCCGATGATGGAAAGGGAAGGCGAAATCAAATTATGCAATTCCGTCGCACACTCTCCATGATATATCCTGTAAAATTCATATAAGCAGGTTACTTTACGGCGGTGTTCAAGGCTCTGCAGTTTCGCTTCTAAAGTTCGTTTTATAATACGAAAAACATGCTTAGCTCGCTGTCTTTCCTTGGTCAAAGTCAAAGGTCGTTTTATAAATCTCAGCCTTAGAGTGGTAGAACACAAAAAAGGTGACGATTCGACTGTACTTGATGGACAGCTAACCGTTTCACGAGGTGGAAGGAGTTCGTCGTGCAATACCTTACAGATAGGTGGTTTGGTTTCTAGGGTTTTCAACCAGCTGTCCCACAAATGTGATGCAGTGGCGTGCCTCACTAGACTCCTATTCAGACATCATATATTATTTATGAAGGACAATTTGCTGTTGATAGCTTGTCTGAGCCACCGGACAAAAGGATGAGCTGAAGGCTCTTAACCCGTATATAATTAGTAAAATCGCTGGCGATAGCGGTCAGTGCGAGTGTGCTGGTTGGCCTGTAATGTGGCGAGACAGATAGTGTCCAGGTCCGTTGAGGACTTCCCTGGGTCGACCAGTGCTACGAGAGCGAGGAGCAAAATTGAAGTACGTTTTTGATTGGAAGTTTTCAATTAGACTATTGTGGATATCATGTTCTTTGTTTATTTCAAGGACACTTTGCAGCTGGCTTCCGATGGCCTTTATTGCGTCGCCGGATAAAAGGGCGAGTTGAAGACTCTTAATCCATTAAAAATAAAGTAAAACCAACCTTAAAACTAATTAGCGGGCCTAAGGTGCCCGAGTGGGCACGGACTTCGGCGCTGGGAGCTACTGGGGATTTTCGCCAGTAGGGCGAGCTAACAGAGAGAATCTACTAGTGTACGTGCTGACGTGTGGGGCTCTACGACCTCGCCGACGAGGACGGTTGGTACAATAGGGGCTAGACTGATTAGCGATCTGGTTGGCCTTTAAAGTGGCGAGAGTGATAGGGTCGTCAGGGTCGTTGAGGGCTTCCCTTCCGATGGGTCCTAAGTATGCGGTGGGGATGTTGCCTGAGGAGGGTGTAGTTGGATGCAGCCAGGCAGCCACCACGAGGTGGTTGGAGTGGTGAGGAGCAGAGTGGAAGTACTTTCTCGATGCTTGATTCATGAGACATCATGTCCGTCACGCTTAACCAGTCTTACACTAATTACCGTAACACTTCGCTTGCGTGTCAGGATACAAATAATGCCATCTATTGGTGGCGCTCGGTACAAAATTTTGTAGTTTCGTAGTTATATCCAATATGTGCCTCTATCGCTGAATATCATATTCGCAAAAAATCATGTTCGCAAAACATGATATTCGCAAGACATCATGTTCACAAAATATCATATTGTGTTCTTTAAAACTCTATAATGATGCATTTAAGTAGGAGATCTTCGCAATTGCAAGACCCTCATCAATCTTCCAAGCACTTGCGTCAATTAATATTGTCGTGTAATTACTACTTATTTATATTCCCGTGATTCCGTCTATATTTGAGGAGTATCCCGTCGTCAATTTCCGGTAAGTTCTATTCTTGTCTTTTATCCTTGTTTCCTTATCATTTATACACAGATATTTACAAAAAATATCTTCAACATTTTTATAATTATTGATGCAAAAATCGAATACTAAGAAAAATCCTTCAGTCAGATTCGAACTAGCGCCTTCAGGTACATAGATTTCTAACAGAAGCAACATCTGGACAACAGAGAAAGAAACAACTGGAAATTCAATTGAATTAATTACAGTTTTTAAAACGACATCTGTAGTCAGCTGCTGGTAGCTATAAAGTTACCTGGCTGAGTGAAGAAATAGATTTCTCACAGATGGCGCTACGGCAAAAAAGTTGTTAAAAACCAAAACTAAGATATGCAAGAAGCACATTGAAAATTCGTAAGATCTGCTGGTTCGTTCCGTAGCTCAGTGTGGAGAGCGTCAGGCACAGTATGCTGAAGGCGCTGGTTCGGATCAAGCCAGATTGAAGGAATTTTTCTTAGTGTTCGATCTTTGTATTAATCATTATAACAAACTAGTGAAGTATTCAAAAACAATTAACATCGTGGTAGTAAAACTGCCTCCGTGGCCGAACGGTTACCATGCTGAACTGCCACGTAGATGTCCCCGATTCGATTTCCGGGCCGGGAGACGTAGTTTGTATGGCCTTCATTTATTTCTTTCGTGTCTTTGGGTGTAATTTGTGGTTGTCTGTGTGTGTATCCATAGCATTCGCGTTAAAGGCAATTATTTATTGCGAGGCTATGAATTTACATTCAATAATTTTAATATCTTCAACTTTTTTTGAAACTATCAGGTAACGTCTCACGTTTTAAGACTCTGTTTCAATTTGGCGACAAGCTAATCTAAATGCAAAACGTATTCAATTATTTACATCCGTTAAATTCCAATTAAAGTTCATTCGCCTTTGATAACTTTTTCAGTAGATTGGTTCCGATTGAAGAAATTCTTAGGTTCATTTTCCTCTTGGTCCTGTATAAGATATGCAAA